CGCCCCCGCCCCCCTTGCAACTCCCCCTCGTAGGTCAGGGCGAGACGCGAGTGGGAGTAAGCAAGATTTAGCAAGCTAGATTAAGCAGGCAAGCAGGTGTGACGCCCTTTTAACACTTTCATTGTCTCTTCCGCAGGTGGTGAAGTGCCCAGCCTCATAAAAAGTCTTCCGGTGCTGCTTCCCCCTCCCCCCCCCGCCCCGTCCGGCTGCTGTACAACTGTTACTACTACTACTACTACAGCCACTGCTGCGCCTACCGAGAGAGATCGCATCCCCGGCTCTGCTGACTCCAGCCTCTCATCCTTAACCCCTTCCCTACTAAAACCACTCCCTCCCCACACCTAGTACCTCCGGCGACCCCCCCCCCCCTCGCCCCCTTCTTCCCCCTCCCCAGCCCTTTTCGCAGATCCTCGACAGAGAGGCCTTTTGGAGTGAGCGACGTCTGCCATTGCAAGCAACCATGGCGTTCGCAGGCCTCAAGAAGCAGATCAACAAGGCCAACCAGGTGAGTGTCGCACGTGGTCTTCCAGTCAGCTGGTCATGGACAGGTGTTTTGATTGGTGGAAGGGCGCGGGGTCAACGAAGGTTCGGGGTGGAAAACTAGTTTTAAGAATGCTTTAGGCATTGCGGGATCTTACGATACTAATCTTACACAGTTCTGCTCACGGACCTTACTCTCTATCAAAGAACATAGCTCACTCTGCACGTAATAAAACTAATTTTAGATATTTTCAACGAAGATATCGTAGCAGTTTACATATTTGTTATCTCCGAAAAAAGCTTCAACAAAAACACATCTCGAAGCGCACAGATTACGTCTCACCTCACGCTTCCCAACTTGTAAGTGTAGATAAAGAAGTAATTAAAGACACATAGACAAACCCACACGCTCTCCGGGGTTTGAGGCTGAGGTCTTCCCGGGTTTCAGGAAGCAGAAAGACGATCAGAATGCGGTGCTCCCGTTGCGCCGCCGTGAGCGAAAGGCGGAGATTTGTGCCGCTGTTGGTGCGATGCGGTACAATGCGGAACAATACTATTCGGGGTGATATTCCATGCTACGGTGCGGACGGTGCTGTATGGTATGGGACGATACGCTGTCGAGAAAAGCGCTGAACCGATTTTTTTTGTGTGTATGTGTGTGTGTGATAGCAAGATATCTGTAACACGTTCAAGAAATTATGGAATGAAGTGTAAATATTTAAAACGTTCTGTGTGGTCAGTTTTGTCTGGCAGATTTTGGCCTCACACTGTCAGATTTTAGCCGCGCATTTTATATATTATTATGTATATGTTTTGCCAGTTTCAGAAGATAAAGATAGAACTCATTAGACAAGAAAAAAAAATGCATAATTCAGAAAATGTTTCGAAGATTGACGTATAACGTTAGTAAGCGTGCTCGTAATGATATGAATTTGATAATGGACATTAATGATGTTAGTGTTCCGCTTGTTGTCAGTTCAGGTGTCGGGTCAGTGAGCGGATTAATGGCGGGGGAGAGGGAAGGAGAAGGGGGTGAGAGGGGGAGGGAAAAGAGAGAGAGAAGGAAAGAGAAGAGGGATAAAGAGGGAAAGGAAAAGAGAGAGGGGGGGTGTAAGAGGGAAAGGAAAAGAGAGAGGGAGGGTGTAAGAGGGAGAGGGGAAAGGAAAGGAGGGATGAGAGGGAGAGGGAAAGAGGAAAGGAAAGTGAGAAGGGGAATGAGAGAGAGAGGGGAAAACAGAGGGTGGGTGATACGTAGAGGAAAAGAGAGGGGGAAAGATAGAGGGGGGATGAGGGGGAGAGGGGAAAGGATGGATGCGAGGGAGAAAGAAAGAGAGAGGGGGGGTGAGAGGGAGAGGGAATATGTAAGAACAGATGAGAGGGAGAGGGAAAGAGAGATGGGGGATGACAGGGGGAGGGAAAGAGAGAGGTGGATGAGAGTGAGAGGGGAAAGGAAAGGATGGATGCGAGGGAAAGGGAAAATGTAAAAAGGGATGAGAGGGTGAGGGGAAGAGAGATGGGGGGATGAGGGGAGAGGTAAAGAGAGAGGGGAATGAGAGGGAGCGCATTTAACTGTGCGCTATATAAAGTTCAAAAAGGTTTAATTCTATTTTTAGCTCATATCACATTTTCTACAAACATCCAGAGTCAGAAGTGCAGTTAGATCTCGCCTCTTCTAACTCGCTTTCTATTTTTGTCAGAAGAGACCGTTATGAAACCACGAGTTTATGTTTGTCTTTGCAGTCGTAAACAGTATTATGGAGGACTGCACATGCTTGGAAGACATTTTTTTTCTTTGTTCAGTTATGTATATTTATTTGTTTATTTGTTTATTTATTTGTGGGCATATAATGTAAACTTTTTTAAAGTAATTATATTGTTGATTTCGCGAACAAACTTTATTTCATAACTATATTCTGTTTACTTAGTTCATTGCCCATTGCGAAAGGCGGGGGCATAGGAGAGAGAGAGAGAGAGAGAGAGAGAGAGAGAGAGAGAGAGGAAGAAGGCGTGGTATATATGT